TGGGGTTCTTGCTTCCCATTTACGTACCCCCTCCATCACCCAACTCAATGCCCCGATTCAAGATTCTCAAATCTAATATATTCTCTATGTCTACAATAATACAAAATACGTATATTTCTGAAACCGTAAAATATCAAACCCCCAACCAAATTCTCTGAATGTAATCATACGTAACATAAAATTATCAATATTCTTCACAAAATTGAGGACTTCAAAGAAGAATCGAAACCCTAGGAATCTGATATGTTTGCCCGAGAAGACAAAAAAACTCGAACATTGGTTTTTGACATGAAATCTTTGGGCTTTTTCCTCTGTTTTTTAGATGTAATTTTCTGAGTTTTCTTGGAATTTTATTTTTTTGAAGGAGTCTGGAACAGTTCAAGGGGATTTGAAGACGAGGAGAAGAAGCAATTCTGATAATTGTAATTTAGTCCTATGAATTGGTGTTATTTCTAATTTAATGCAATTGAATTTTTATTTATTTATAAAAAGAAATATAACCTGCAAATAGTAGGAAAAATAAGGGGGTAGTTCAGATATTTAACATTTTCAGTTAACTTTAACGGTATATCTGACGGCCGCTACAACTTGTCAACCACAAGGGGGTAAAATGACCAAATTGATATCAGAGGGGGGTAAAGTGCACAACGTGAAAACCACAGGGGGGCTAAGTGCTATTTACCCAACAATTTACATCGTCTAGATGTTAGCAGGGTTGTGAATAACTTCTGCCCTATAATTGATTGACATGTGGAATGGTTAGATCACTAATCAGGCTTAATATACCACTCACACACAAATAATACCCATCGATCATATTACGAGCATATATCCAGACATACTTTGTGCTAATCAGTGCACAAATGATCCTAATCAAAACCAGTAACACTTGTCGACATATTTAACGAACATAGACAAAACAGGAGATAAAATGAATATATATATATATATATATATATATATATATATATATATATATATATATATATATATATATATATATATATATATATATATATATATATATATATATATATATATCATTCATAATTTGTTGAAACTCAGAAGGAGCATTCTTAAGGCCAAAAGGCATGACATTCCATTCGTAATGACCGAAAAGGACATTGAAGGCAGTTTTATACCTGTCATTCTGATCAATTTGTATTTGCCAGAATCCTGATTTTAAATCAAATTTTGAAATATAC